ACTAGTCACCCACCCAGACAGCTGGTATGGCTCAAGTCTAATTACCTTTCAATCAAGCATTCTTTTTTTAAAAAATCTATTCTAACAAGAATTATCTAACCATTCATCAAAAGTGAATTTCTGAACTGAGACTCCTAGAAGGCCTTTCCCCTTACGCAAGATTACAATAAAACTTTAAATAGCCATAACTAAATTGCCTGAAATGTCTTTGTTAACACTGGGGCCAACTGAATGTCACAGCCCCTAAAAGATTGCTTACTTGCTTATGAAAAGTGGGAGCGACAAGTTAACACACAATGCTTGCTTACCAAGTTGTTTGACATTCCTCAAACTATTCAAAATGAAATTATTTAAAGAGGTCTATGTATGAGAATGATTAAAGTTTAATGACCTCATACAGCTAAAAGGACAGGTTGATAGACTTTGATTTTATTCTACTCTTGGACTCTGATTTAATAGGACTGAAGATCTTTGGTTATACTGTAACCAGGAGCCAAAGGTCAAAGACATAGAAATAGTTAAGGAATATAAATAAGAGTCAACAACATATATAGTCTCTGATGCTGAAGATAAGATGAAAGGGATAAAAGTGATGACTATAGAATGTCTTTTCTTGGAGAAAGTACATACTGTACTTTGTTTCACACCAGTTTCTGTCCAAACTTCCTACACTTCTCAAATATTCCTGAAATGCTTCCAGCAAAATATATGTCTGTTGAAAAAGCATTTAATTGTTGAGATTATTTTACTTTGGCATAAAGATGGCTTCTCTTTGAACACCATACTCTGTCAAGATGAAGGCATCAAGTCGGTGCCTAAACAGTAATAATTTTGGACTTAACACCCTACTCTTTTCCAAAAATATCGTTCACTAATTCCATTGTTTGTTTGTTTGCTTGCTTGTTTGTTTGTCTGTTTGTTTTTCCTTCTGGGTTTAACATAAAAGTTAGCCCCTAGAAGACATACGTGGTTCCATTGGTAACATACTTTAATGACTCCTCTGATCCTGGCTATTTAGATTTTTTAAAAAAACTATTTCAAACAATGTTGCAGTGAACATTCTTGCACATACTTCTTTGTTCCTGTGTGTTGTCAGTTCCTTACATCTCCACTTTCAGATTTCTTTTTATTTTTTCATGAAGTTTTCTCTATTGAGAAGATAACTATCAGGAACTTGGAAGAACTATTGTTCAAATTGAATTAGTAAATTGTCTAAGTGTTAGTGATACTTATAATAATGATGCTTACAGAAACAGCTTACCAAGAGCCTGTTCACCCCTCCTGGTGTCAGCTGATAACATGTGGCCCATCCCAAGGAAGAGAATAACATGACCTAGAAAAACAAAGCAGTGGCCAAGTGCAGTGGCTCAAGCCTGTAATCCCAGCACTTTGGGAGACCAAGGTGAGAGGATTGCCTGAGCCCACGGGTTCAACACCACCCTGGGCAACTACGCAAGACCTCATCTCTACAATAAATCAAAAAAATTAGCCAGGAGTGGTAGCGCATGCCTGTAGTTCTGACTACTTGGAAGGTTGAGGCAGAAGGATTGCCAACGCTCAGCGGGTTGACACTGGGGTGACCGTGAGCATGCCACTGCACTCCAGCCTGGGCGACAGAGTGAGACTCCAACTCAAAAAAAAAAAAGAAAATACAGAGCAGTTTCCACCACCCTGAAGCCTTTGTTTCCTTAACTGTGAAATAGGAAACCCAGTCTTTGCTGAGCCAACAACAGTTGCTTACGATGCAAGGAGCAGGTGGGTGGGAAAGTCTGCAGACTGTTAGAATTGACTGGGGCTGGCCTAAGGGGAGCGCCTTACTCCAGTTTCCCCAAGTGTTTGGCTTGGCCTGATTCCTCTTCTCTGGATCACGGATGCTCAGGCAGCCTCCCCAGACCTCACCTCCAAAGGTCTTTATAGCTCCTTGAGAGGAATTCACATGATGCCATGACCTTCACTAAGAAAAAGCAAAGGCTGTAAAAGGCCAGCCTTGGCTCCCTACTCCATTGTTAAATATTAATAATATCAGGACACAGAGGCCAAGAGTGGGCACCCCATGTATCCACATGTGCCCCTGCAGTGCTGGAAACCACAGGCCATGAGTCCTCTCCAGCCCATTCCCCTGTCAACACAGAAGATCTGGCTGTTTTCTCTGTGCTCGAGGCCAACACAAAAGAAGGAAAGCATTGGGCTCCTGGTTCTTTCCGACTGTGAAAGTCAGGTGGAGCTTGTTTGCTCTCCAAGGCACTCGTTCAAGAGGTCAGTCACCCCGGAGAGGCAGAGAAGGCACCAAGCCTGAGTGTGTGCTAAGGGCAGAGCTGCCAGATGGGCCTGGCTGCCACAGGCTCTGCAGGCGCCGCCCGGTAAATGACAGCTATGATTGCCCCAGAGAGCTCAGGTGCAAAGACTATCCCGTGCTCCCAAGAGGAGGAAGAGGAGGAAGACACAGAAATCAGTGCTGCTCCCAGCTGCAGATCACGGCAAGTCCCAGGAATTCAGGATACAGGGTGAGTGTCCTCAACCCATGGGGCTGGGTGGCCCAGGGTCTTTGACAGGAGTCTCAGTCCAATGGCCATTGATTAAAGTCCTGTTTAAAGTGCAGGGATCTCCCAGCGGGGCCTAAGGATACAAGACAACTAAATGCAACATGATGTCCTAAATGGGATCCTGGAACAGGAAAACGGCATTAATGGAAAAACTAGTGAAAACCAAAGAAAGCATAAAGTTTAATTGAATAATAAAAAGCATAATATGATACTCACTCTAGAAGCAAACTAGATATGTTCTCTGATAAAAGTATATCCTTTGTTTCTGTGGCGTCTCGCATAGGCAGACTCTGGACTTGTCTCCATCTTGTGATTTGGTTTTTTTTTGGTTGGTATGTGTTCATTATAACAATAGTATACATGTCTAAAACACACTCCACTGTGGATTGCAGCCTACTTTCATCTTTGTACACTTACCTAATTAACTCTATTAATTAAATATGCAAAATTAAAAGTGTATCAAACGGTATAAATATAATATACACATACACTTTAAATGTTTAAAAATATCCAAAATATACAGTAAAATATACATACAACTATTTCCATACATTTAGAAATGTAGAGATATTGTTTTTATGAAGGGTGTGTGTACTCACAAGAAACTATACAATACAGAAGTGGTCAACATGAACATCCCATGTGACTAGTTCCCATGCCACTCCCTAAAGGAAGATGTGTATATGTAGACCTCCACACTCTTTTCTCTGTGTGTATAGAGGGATGCATACGGGATGGGGACCTGCGGCTGACGTTTATAACCAATCAAAGCACTCCAACATCTGGGATTGGACAGAATGTCACAATCCTTATTGGCACAGTGCTCTGGACAGTCCATTTTCATGCCAAAATATTTTCCTTTAAAATCTGTAGATGTTTCTTCAGTTTTCTCGGACCATTAGTGCTAGAGAAAACTCTGATGTCAAGATAGTCCATTTGTCAATACTCTAGTTTTCTACTTGGCTGTCTGCCATCCCTTTGCTTTGGAGTGCCCCTGGCTGAGTCTCCAAAGGCTATTTTCAGCTGAGGTTGTTGAGCTCCTATGGTGATGTCAGAATGTGAGGGCACTTGAGAATGCCTGGTTCCTCTCTTTTTCTTTTTAAACATTTTCTTAGTGCCCCATGCCAGTTTATTATTTGTCTGTTCAAAACTCTTCTCATGTTGTATTTTTTTAGTTACTTTAATCTCCATTCCTGGTCCCTTTTACCTCCTCCCTAAGAGACAACCATCCTAATGTGTTTAATGCGTGTCCTTTTTTAAAAAAAAAGTGTTCTTATAAAATGTGTGTTGCTGTTTTGTAAATATATATCTTAAATTTTCATAAATGATATGGAATGCCCCTCATGATCCTTGAGGATAATTTCTTTAGAACATATTCTTGGGTTCAGGACTGCTGAGTCATGGGGGGTGCACCCTTAGGTTAACTAATTCACTTTCCAAATGGCAGCCCTCATCTACACTCCTTCTATCAGTGCATAAGTAGAGCCTCAGCCCCACCAACATGCAGCACTATCCAGCCCTCAAACTGCCGATCCAACAGGTGCCAAGAGGAATCTCATGTTTGTTTTACTTTTCATTTCTCTGATTACCAAGGAATTTGAACATTTATTCACATGCTTGCTAGCCTTTGGGTTTCCTACTTTGTAAACTGCACGTTTATATCCTCTGTCCATTCAACCATTGGGGTTTCAGTCTTCTTGTTGCTAAGGAGACAGTGGCACTTGGGTCAAATATATAGTGGACTGGGAATGCTGGGCAGGAAAACCTGCGATGTCTTCTGCAAGGGTCCCACAGCCCATCAGCGGCGCAGGTCTCCTCACTTCCAGATCAGTGCTTCTCCACACGTGGTGGGTTGGAATAAAGATCTGAATCAAGCTGGGAACGGTGGCTCACACTTGTAATCCCAGCACTTTAGGAGGTCGAGTCAGGACCATTTCTTGAGCCCAGGAGTTTGAGACCAACCTGGGCAACATAGCAAAACCTTGTCTCTACAAAAAAATTTTAAAAATTAGCCATACATGGTGGCATGCACCTGTAGTTCTATCTACTTGGGAGACTGAGGCAAAAGGATTGCCTGAGTCCAGGAAGTCGAGGCTTCAGTGAGCCATGACTGTACCACTGCACTCCAGCCTGGTTGACAGAGTAAGACCCTGAATCGGTATGTATATATATATTTGAGTTACTGCCACTTCTATAGTCTCTTTCCCTCCAGGCCCCACCTGCTCCTGGGTTTGGGCTGTTTGGATTCTATAACACTGGACCAGTGGAAATCTGGGTTTGGGCGTGGAGAGGAGGTCCAGCGGGGGTGGGATAGATAGTCATGCCCTCTGCTTTATCTCCAGGGATCTTCAGGGCTGGTCTGCTCAGGAACCAGAGCCTAGGAGGCCAGAGGGCTGCTAGGGCCAAGGGGCCTAAGAACCTCACTGCTGGAAGCACCCCCAACCCAGAAGCAGGGACATGGAGCACAGCAAGGGGGCCACTGGAGCCCCGGCTGGCACCGTGGTGCCCCAGGAGCTGCTGGAAGAGATGCTGTGGATTTTTCGTGTGGAAGATGGTAAGTGGTGGTAGATGGATGGTGGGGCTAGGGGTGGCTCCACACAGAGCAGAGCTTGGCTGAAGCCCCCTGACATTGTCACCTCCTTCACATCAGGCAGCACATTGTCTCTAAGATAGGGACTGAGGCTGGCTGCCTCAGCACCCAGAGGGGTCTGGCTAAACCACACCCTCCTTTTCTCAGGGCATGGTCACTCATTCACACAGTCATTCAACCATCACAACTACTTATGAGGCGCCCACTGTGCACCAGGTGCTGTTCTCACTGGGCCCTGCTTCATTTCCATAGTGTGGGTAAATCTCAAGAACTCAAAGTCAGGTAGTCACTGTGTGTGTGACCTCTGGGCAGCTGCTAAATTCTGTTCAGCTGCCACTCCTTCCTCCCCCTCCCTGCCTTCCTTCATCCCTTTCTTCCCTCCTTCCCTTCCTCACACTACACAGGGCCAGCTCCTGGCAGAAGTGAAGACTATGCAGGTTACCTCAGCCCGCCTCCTCCCTCCCCACCCTCACTCCCTTTCCCCACTATTTCTTGACTGCATGCTGTCTTCCCCATTGGATGAGTCTTCTCCAGATACTGTCTCTCACTGCCACCCATCAGACAGGAGTTCCCCAGGGCAAAGGGCTCATCTTTGACTAGGGTCTCTGCCACAAGGACAACTGATGCTGTGGGCTGGGTCCACAGCAAGCTGAAAAGCTGCCTGACCGCTCATTAGGATTCTGTCTTTTGCGTCCCTACCCAGCATCTCCTTGGAATATTTCCATCCTGGCCCTAGCAGCCGTGGTGCTTGTGATAAGCATGGTCCTCTTGGGAAGGAGCATCCAGGCAAACAGGTGAGCTGCTGATCTGGGGGTAGTCTCCAGAGAGGAGAGGCCTTCCCACAGGGGTCACTTAGGGACTGTGACTTTTGCTTTGGGATAACAAAATGTAGCCTTTAGGGTCCTTTAAGGACCTGCTGTTGAACCCAAAGTTACTTATAAAATATAAATAAATAAAAACCAACTGTCTCTGATAACCATCCCCTGGTCACAGCCAGTAAGCAGGTATAACCTGAATGAGTGTCGCAATTAAGAAGGAAGTGTGACCAGCCTGGGCAATTTGGTGAGACCTCATCTCTACAATATATCAAAAAAGTTAGCCAGTGTGGTAGCTTGCACCTGTAGTTCCAGCTACTTGGAAGGCCGAGGTGGAAGGATCACCTGAGCCCAGCAGGTTGCCGCTAGGGTGGTCATGAGTGTGCCACTGCACTCCAGCCTGGGTGACAGAGTGAGACTCTGTCAAAAAAAAAAAAAAAAAAAAGGCATGCCCCTTTCACCCTATCAGGAACCACCCCTCTCAGCAGGTCAGCACTGAGACAAGATGGCTGTCCATGGGCTCAACAGGCCTGCTCCTGTAGGCCCAAGAAGATCCTCTGGGCAGTTAGCTTCCACAGTTAGGTTCCTTTGATATGGCCAGTAAGTCTAGAGGGCATCTTGAGTAAAATCAACTTGGAGAGGGGATAGCTGGAACCAACTTGTAGGAGTAACTGGAAGGAATGTCAGGTTAAGGAAGTGGGCAGTGGGAACCAATGAAAGTGGAGTGAAGCATACATGGCAGCATCTTAGAAACATTTGATGTTAAGCATAGGCTGGTTTGGAGAAGGAAGTCCCTAGAGGCAGGGAGATGAGTGAGAAATTTCCTGCAGTAGTGAGGAGGATGGGGAACAGGGTGACAAGTATCTGCACTAAGTGGGATGACAGTCCAAGGGCCAGAGACAATGCCATTTGGTGAAAAGAACACAGGACTCAGAGTCGGGAGGCTTAAGTGCACATCCCAGGAATGTGTGTCTTTGGCCTCTTTGAACTACATGTCCCCAACTATACGGGAAGGGGGTGGCAGAGGTGAGCTCACAGGTGGCAGTGGATTCCCCAAGATGACACATACACAGGTGTAAACTGCATCTCTGCGAAGGAACGTCAAATCCATCCTCGCTTCTCCCCTGACAATTTGCACAGTGCATGTAGGATTTTTCCCTCAAACTCTCTGAGCCATTTGGGAGACCCTGGTCTGCCCCAGTCACTCAGCCTCCCTGATCAACACTGTTCCCTCTCCTCCCAGAAATCAAAAGACATGGCCACCAGAAAAAGAAACTCCAGAAGTCCTGTATTTGGATGAAGCTGGAAACAGGGATCACAACAGCCTAAACAACCTAAGAGAGACTTTGCTCTCAGAAAAGCCAAGCTCGGTCCAGGTGGAAATTGAGTTACAGGAAAAAGATGTCCCATCAGTTCTCCTTCCAGATGCACCAGAAGCTGAGAGCTACTGAGAGTTCAGAATATGTCTCACTCCACACCAGGCACATGATCTGAGCTCAACTCAGTAGCCTGAAAAGTTTTACAGTCTCTCCCGAGAAACCTGATTTTCTAATGAGCAGATACAATGAATGAACAGCAAGCAAACTGAAATTTTGTTATTTAAAAAAAATCTTTTATTAAAATGCTCCTGGAAGTGGGCAGTTGGAACTGCATAGTCTGTTCAAATGGCAGTGGTACACACACACACACACACACACACACACACACACACACACACACACACATTCTTTCTCTCACACACACATACTCTCACACTCACACACACACACCCATGTACACACAGTGCGGAGCAAAGTGCACATCCCCACAGCTGGCCTGTGGGCCAGGAAGTTGGCTAAGGCTCAGCGTGTGGTCTGGAGTAGTTCACAGTCTCCCTCTGACCTCAGCCTCACCATTTGTAGAATGAAGCTGAAGACCAGGTTAGAGATGCTGTTTTCAATGTGAACTCCTGACACTGCTGAGAGAGAAGGAGTCTGGGCTCAAATTCCCCTTGCCAACTTTTCCAGCCCCTGAGCTCTCTCCCTTCCCTGCTTGTCTGTTAAAGATCTGGACACGGCCTGTGTAAACAAAGTTAGACAGCAATCGCACTGCCTGCTTCTGGAGAGCCTTTTCTTGCTAACAGCGGGATCCAAAGGTGTGATCTGATCCCATGTCTGAGCCTAAGTGTTTTGGTAGAAGCCATGGTGACACCACCAAATAATTTACACAAAATGTACTTGACTAACCCCAAATGCTTTTGTTTTTATCTCACAAAGGTGAGCTTTGAAAACTCAGACCCGTTGCTGAGGGTGTTGGGTCCTCGCAAACCAGACTATAGATGAGCATGCTGTGTTTCTGCCAGCAAGTGGGGCCGTTCCCCAGGATGGGCCTGATGCTGCCCATGTGGTCTCCTTGGAGCCCTGGGGAGCTCCCTGGAGAACAGCTTCCTTCTGCAGTTTTGATCGGTACACTTACGGAGGCTGGTCCTTACAGCTTGTTGACAGGGTTCTCAGTGGTGGGAAAACAGGGGACCCTGCTGAAAGAACACAGGAGTCTTCCCGCACTGGACAGACAACCCACAGGCCCCCACCCTCGTGGAGAGGCAGAGTTCTGGAACCCGAGCCAGTTTGTCTCATTGGCTTATTTTAACTGTATTTTCCCTGTGTAGACTGTGGGCTCTGTGGCCTGGGGCTTCTGAGAGGTCGGCAGATGACTGGAGGGCCAGGCTCCTGCCTGAAACCTGCGGCCGCCCTGCCTTTCTCGCCCACTAGGTGGCGCGAGGACCCTGGGACTGTGGTTCTTGTTGACAGTCCTCTGGCCCAACATCCTCTGAGCCTCTCAGAATGTCCACCCAGGCCATCCACGGAGGGCCACGGCTGGCCTGGCTGTAGCTGGAGAGGAAGGGGTGAGGAAGCAGGATGGACACTGAAATTTCTTCCTTCTGAAGGTCGACCCCAGGTCTGGGCTACCACGGTGGTTGTCTCCCTCCAGGGCCACTGATGGGGCCGTTACCAGAGAGACCATGGCCTGAAGGAATCAGGGGCCACATTCCCATGCGACCCTCCCTCTCACATGGTGAGCTGGGTGTAGGGACGCTGCTTGGTGCCGGAGACAAGGTCAGCAGTCCACCAGAGGCGAGGGCGATGGGTCCATCAGAGGCAAAGCCTAGCGTTGACCAGCCTGTCTGTCTTGCAGCCCTGCCCAGCCCCGGGGCCCGTGGGACCTGGGGGGGCGCTCAGAAGATCTTGAAGCCCTTCAGCAGGGTCAGAGTGGGTGCCTTGCGCTTGCTCTGGGCCCGGGAGGCCTTCACCGTGACCAGCTTGGCCTGGGCCACGGCAGGCATCTCCTTGAGACTAGCAGTGGAGAGCGTGTTGAAGGCGCAGCTGGTAAGGCCATGCCGTGGGGTGAGTGGAGCCTGCGGGGGCAGGGCCCTCTCCTCGGAGATGAAGAGGGGCCGGGCCAGGGGGCTCTTCTCCAGCTCCCGCCGGGCCTCTCGCACAGCCTCATGGAAGACGTGCTGCACATGCTCAAAGTCCAGGCAGGCAGAGACCTCGAAAAACAGGCACCCAAACCTGCCGGCCAACGCCGCACCCTCTGCCTGGGTGACCTGTCTGTGAGGAAGTGGGGGAAGCGGGCATCAGGAGGAGGCTGCTCCAAGTCTGCAGATAGCACCTCCTCTTCCCACTTGCCCCAGCTGGCTAGGGGTCATCTTCACCTCCCTGAGGCTGTTTCTCATCAGTGCCATGGGATAATGACATTAGCCTCTCGGGATTAAGGTTAAGAAAGACAGTTGGGTGCGGTGGCTCATGCCCATCATCCCAGCACTTTGGGAGGCAGAGACAAGAGGACTGCCTAAGCCCAGGGGTTCAAGACTAGCCTGGGCAATTAGGCAAGACCTTGTCTCTACAGTAAATCAAGAAAAATTAGCCAGGCATGGTGACACATGCCTGTAGTTCTAGTTACTTGGAAGGCTGAGGCAGAAGGATCACCTGAGTCCAGCAGGTGGAGGCTGCTGTGACCGTGAGTGTGCCACTGCACTCCAGCCTTGACAACAGAGTGAGACTCAGACTCAAAAAAAAAAAAATTAATGTGTGTCAATGTTTACTTAGTATGGTAGCCGGCACAGAGTCAGTGCTCAGTAAGTTGTGGCTGATGTCGCCAAAGCCAGAATTTAGGAAGAGGATGAGCATCAGAGAGGAACTGGTCCAACCTCCCCCATGCTAGATCCCACCTGTGGCCATTCCCAGTCCCATCACTCCACTGTCCCAACACAGCCTCTTGGGCGGGAAATGGGCCGCCCACAGCCCTGGCTTGTGGGATGAGCTCTGGAGAGAAGCTGCTGTTTGGACTCTGGAAGCCTGTGGGTGGCAGAGCTCTCATAGCTTATGGAGAATCTGTCTACCCAGTCAGGAAGGAGCAGGAGAGAGCAGAGGGGACAACATTTCACAGTGAGGAAAGGAAAAGGAGGGAGCGGTGCTGATTCCAGCCTGGTCCCGCACCACATCCTGTGATGGCAAGACAGAAGATCTGAAGCTGGGAAGGTTCTGGGAGCTTCTGACTAGAAAACCATGGGAATTGAGGTGGGAGAAAGGAGAAGACTGATTCTCGGGTAGGTCATAGGTTCAGCAGAGGGAAAAGATAGTGATCCCTGAGGCCTGGGGGCTGAGGTTCTACTGGCTGAATCCTCCGGGCCCTCTGCTGAGTTGCCCCAACCATCCTCGAAGATGAAGGCACAGTCTGCAAGGCAAGAGACTTGAGCGAGTAGTGGTAGAAAAGGATTTCTGAGCCAAGGTTACTTTGGCAGGCGCAGGGGGCCAGAATGGGACTAGCTGCCCAGGGCACTGCGGCATGGTGGGGGTCATCAGAGAGAGGGACTGGGACAAAAAGGACCAGGGAGGAATCCACACCCCATTCAGGGTTGGCATCCTGTCTGAGGCTCCCCACTTCCTGAGAAACCCCTTTCGAAAGAATACTTGGTATTAGATGTTTTTGGAATAAGCTTGAATCTGCAACTTTGTCATTGTGAGGGCTTGAATCATGAATTTCCAGAAACAAGAACCCCACTCATGCACCCATGTGTGAGAGTGGGTGACGGGCACATGACGTTGTCCTTTTTCTTATTTTGTTGCATCCTGGTGAAAATGTGGCCAACAGCTTGGGAAGTACTGCCCTAGCCCACATTTCAGCCTTTTAGTTGCAAGTCAGTCATGGGAGACAGGGACTGATGCTCGGCTGACAGATTCAAGGTGCTCACCAAATCCTAATCCACTAAACGTGGGACTTAAACAAAGAACAAAATGGGGATACCTTGTCATAACCCATTCCTAGGGAACTGATGCTGCCTCATTTGAGCCACATATTCTCTGTTATTTGCTCACAAATCATTTTTAAATGATCCCTTTGGCCATGACTGGAGTCGAAAGAGAGATCTGTAGCTTTTTCCTCCATATTGAAAACTGGCCTGTTCACAATCCAGTCTTCTGACCTTTGAGGAACTGCCAACCTGCCAATTCCTCAAAGACTACTTTCAGATCACACAACTTCCCTCGTTCCCTGAGACAGAACTGGGTCTGAGGGCCTGACCTGCTTTGGAAGACCCCTTGCTGAGGTTCCCCTTCACAAGTACACACTGCCCTTTCCCTCTGCCCACCTGACCTGTTCTGAACAAAGTGTCCTACATGGTAATACCACCCGTTGTGCCCTTGGCCCTGGGGAAGCAGGACTGAGCAGCCGTGAGTAAGGAGGCACGGGTAGAAGACTAGCAGAAGGTGCCACCCCTTACCGGTGGATTGGCCACACAGGACAGATGTCAGTGTTGGAGAAATCTTGTGGAATTACTCTCCAGGCATCAGCATCATGATTTCAAAGTGTGGAGGTAGACCAGGGGATGGGGAGGCCCAGGCTTAGCTAAAGAGAGCACATCCTACCTCCAAGCATTCCAGTACTGGGTCTTTTCAAACACGGGGCCCACCAAGCAAAATGCAGCTGCAGTACTCTGTTCTGGCCCTGTCTGTGACCTCCAATTCAAGCCCAACCCCTTCTAAAAGAGCCTGCCCCCATCACAATCAACCATGGGAGTTGGGAGTAAGGGAGCGGTGCTTGGGTGAGGCAAGAGCAGGTCGGACAAAGCAGATGGCTGACCCAAGGAGCCAATCAAAGTCTCTCTCCCTAGACCTGGACTTGGGCACTGAATGATGTCAGCTACTGGGAATAGGACAGAAGGTCCCATAGACCCGGGCAAGAAAGGGTGAGTCCAAGAGATACCACAGAGACCCAAAAAGGTGGAAGGAGTGCATCTCTTCACAGGCTTCAATCCCTTCCCGTCCTTAACTGTCTGGAAGACCAGTGCCTGCCAGACCCTCGCAACACAATCCCTTCCACTAGTCCAGAGGACTGTTCTCAGCTGCTGACGGAGACCTGCAGGTGCCACCTGCCTTTACAGATGAGGATCATGGGCTTGGGGAGCAGGGGATATGCTATGCTCACCTATACTGGGCCATGTCCAGTTTGTTGCCCAGCAGCAGGGCCGGGCAGCTGCGCTGTGTCTCCTTCGCATGCCAAGCAAGCAGCTCCAGGTAGCCACTGCTTCCCTGGAAGCTCTGGCGGCTGTCGACGCTATACACCACCAGGAAGGCATGGGCCCAGTTCAGGTAGCGCTCGCAGTTCCTGGGGGTGTCCTGGGTGAGGAAAAGAAACCCCGCTCAGGGGCAGGGCAGCGGGGTCAGGACAAAGCTTTCACCTGAGCTGTCCCATCCCACCTCCCTGCCCCTGGGTCTCTGGATATTGTTCCCCAGCAGAGCACTTTTCAAAGGGGCACTTGAGTGTTGATTTGGCTTGGTGTGAAAGGAGACATTGTCTCATGAATCTCCCACCCCACAGTCAGAGCCTTGGAGACCTTGGCCCCTGGGGCACAAAGCCAAAGACTCTGGCATGGCCTCTACAGAGGCTTGGCTGTCTCTGGGCACTGCCAGTATTGGGTCAGGTTCACGTAGCCCCTTCAACTTCTGAGAATAACTGGCAAGGGTGGCGAGGGCATGAGGGATGAGTATGTTGGGGAGAACTTGGCCTGAGGAGCTCTCACCAGAGGATCTGTGTAAACAGGTGACGGGGGCATAAAGGCCATGGCCCAGGTTCTCAGAGTTGACACCAACAATCATCAGGCCCTGTCCCAGCCTTCCCATGTGGCAAATGAAGGATTTGGGCCCAGAAAGATCAGCACATCATTCAGGGCCACACAGCACAAATTCCTCATCTGAGGCCCCCACTCTGGACTAGGACTTCTCCTTAGGAGGCTACACTGATTCTTAGCTCTCTGGGTGCAATGGGAGGAATTTACCAGGTCTGCAGTATCCATGACCCTCAAGTGAACAGGCTGGTGGTCCACAGTCTCTTCAGAGCTGTAGGTGTCCTCTGTAACACAGGTGGTCAGCCAGGTCAGACACAGTGAACTGGGGCTACCTTCAAGCTTCCCTCTGTGCAGGACCCCTATGTGAGCAGCCCTCAGGAGCTGCTCCAGGACTGAGACCCCTGGAATGTCCTTGGCTCTCATCCCCATGGAAGGTGCAGGCAGAACATCCTACCAAGGAGATTCTGCTTTGCCTGCAGGTACAGTGGTCACTCGCAGAACTCGCCTTGGGGGTCAGGCCTGTGTTCTGGGCCCATGCAGGAAGCCAGCAGGAGGCAGGGAGCAGCCCCCGGGTCCATTGGGCAGCACAGTCTCAGGAGCTGCCCTGCTGGCTCCTGCAGCCCTGAACCCCAGGCTTCTGACCTCTTCCTCTCAACCACCCTCCTGGCCCTGTAGAAGACAAGGAGAAAGAAGTATATGGCATGATGGAGGGCAGACAGTCAGATCCCATGTAGAAGTTCCAAGAAAGTTTTACAAATAAGCCTTGTTGACAGCATAGGTACCTGGTGTTTTAAGCTAGAAATGTGGAACCAAAGTCCCTTTATTTTCCTTTTTTGTGTGTGTGTCAGGGTCTCACTTTGTTGCCCTGGCTGAAGTGCAGTGGCATAATCACGGTTCACTACAGCCTTGACCTCCCAGGCTCAGAAGATCTTCCCTCCTCAGCCTCCTGAGTAGCTGGAACTACAGTTGTGTGCCACCATGCTCAGCCCATGTTGGTCTTGAACTCCTAGGGTCAAGCCATCCTCCTGCATCACCATCCCAAGGTGCTGGGATTACAGGTGTGAACCACCATGCTCACACCTGTGGAAATATGGAATCACACTCAACTTCAGCTATGTTGTAGCTATGTGCTGAGGCTGAGCCACTTCAGCACACTGAGGCCATGTCTGCGTTTTAACTGGGAATGCTGTGCTCTCGTGGGATGACCGTTTCCAAGCCCTGGCTCTATGTCAGGCACTGTGCTCAGCACATGTCTCTATAGCTCCTCTAACATCCCATCTTTCAGCACTCTGCAAGGGCTGGGTAGGGGCCTGGACCAACATCACCATCTGGTGAAGGGCAGAGGGGACCATGGTGCTCCCAAGCAAACAGGGCAGAACCACATGTCCAGGTGATTTTTTATTTTTACATTTTGAAGTAATTTTAGACTTGTGTAGAGGTTGTGAAATAATATAGAGTTCCCACACGTGTGTCTCTCGGCTTCCCCCAATCACCTTACATGACCATAATACAGGGATCAAAGCCAAAAACCTGACATTGGCATCATACTAGGAACTACACTACCAGCCTTACTTGGATTTCTTGAGTTTTGGGGTTTTCTTCGTTCTCGTGACCTCAAACCAAAGGAAGAAGCAAGGGTCAGAGGAGGATGCTGGCAGGTACGCTCTCTGCCTCCACCTGAGTGCCACTGGCCCACATCTTGGGTGCACTTGTCCCTACCTTTCCCTGAGTGTCCCCTGCCCCTACTGGCCCTAGAAGCGACCCTTCTTGGCAGAACTGGGATACCCTCTGCCTTCCTGGCAGTAACCACTATGAGAGAGCAACCCATTCCCCCACCCCCAGGCTGGATTGACAAGCATTCACTACTCTCTGAGGGCCACTGGCAGCCACACCAGGCCTGGACACACTCCAGGTCCACTAGCATCCAGCATGAATCACAGACAACTTCTTGCCCCCGGCTGGCTTTGGGGACTTGGAGAAATACCCACTCTTATGCAAAGACAAAAAAAATCTAATGGAAACTATGCCCCAAATGTTTAACTATATTTGGTCCACGAAGAACTGCCTTAGATGCCTACATCTTGTTCAGATTTGTCATTATTTTTCTGCCAAAGTTGTCTGATGTGCCCATTAGACATCCCTCCCCCAACCAAGAAACACAGTGTCCTGCCCAGCCTAGCAAATGGCACTAGCCCAGCCTTGGTCTCCTGTCCCTCACAGCACAACAGTCTTACAAGGCTGCTCTTACTTCCACTGCAGAAGGATGACAAGGTGAGGCCCAGAGGAGGAGGAAAGTCACCCAAGGCCACACCCTGCCAGCAGAAAGAAAAAAACTCAGGGCTTCTAGACTGGGCTGCCTCTATTGGGACCCCCTGGAGGGTCTGCAGTTCCTCCCAGAAGCGCCAGCCCAGCTGGGGATATGAAGCATGGATGGGTGAGGTGGAAGAAGTCCTGGAGCTCATGCTGTCCAGCCTCTCCAGTCACAGTAATAGCCACCTTCTCACCACCAAGACACTGCCTCAGAGTACTCTGCTGTCCTTAAGTATATGAGCCTCATAATTCCTACCTCTAATTCACATGCTATGGATTTTCATGCTGACAGAGAGTTGTTTCCCAAAGTACTTTTCCCTCATTTACAGAAATAATAATAGCTTTAAAGGCACCAAAGAAGCTGTGATCATTATGTGTGTAGGGTGATGCCTCAGAAATGGTGCCCATGTCCTTGCTATAGCAGGCTGAGGTCACAAGGAGTGACAGGCCCGCATTCTCCCCAGTCAAGGCCTCTCATGAGAGAATATTCTCCTAGAGATCCCTACCTGGTCCTGGGGGCTCAGTGCAGGCAGAGCCCTCCCACAGGCTTTGAATCTCTCAGTTCCTGCTGGCTACAACAGGCATAGCCCACAAACACAATGCAGTTCTTACACAGAGCACAGTCTCTTAGCCCCATCTTCTGGATGGGGAAACTGAGGCTCAGAGAGCCCCGTGCCACAGACCTCTGCCTTCAGGCCCTCTATAGCATTAGGTGGCCCCCCATGCAGGGCAACTGGAGTAGTATCTCATCTTCCTTTGTACCTGGGAATCACCATAATCTTAGGAAAATCACTGAACTCTCTGCCTCAGTTTCTCCATCTGTGAAATGGGACCAATAATAGAAGTTGTTTTTTAAAGGGTAATCCTAGGTTGGATGTGGTAGCTTATACCTGTAGCCCCAGCAATTTGAGAGGCCGAGGTAGGAGGATTGCTTGAGCCCAGGAGTTCAAGACCAGCCTCATCTCTACAAAAAAAAATTAAATAATTTAAAACTGGATGTGGTGGCACATACCTGTAGTCCCAACTACTCAGGAGACAGAGGCAGAAGGATCACCTGAGCCCAGGAGGTTGAGACTGCAGTGAGCTATGATCATGCCACTGCACTCTAGCCAGGGTGACAGAGTGAGACCCCAACTAAAAAAAAAGGTAACTCTAAAACCAAAATTCAACCCCGTGGTTAGTGCCTCTATGTTATGCCTAGTACGGAGCTATATGCTGGAAATGGGAATGACTCTCTCCCCTCACAAGGCTCCCCTAGTGAGCTCAGGCTCTCAGCAGACCTAGGAAAAAGGCAGAGTTCTTTTGCCAACATCTGCCTGATGACTAATTCCTGCTCCCCCACCCCCCCTTGAGTATTTAGACCTTTCTCCATAGGAGGAAAGGCTCTGATCCCACAGCTTCCACTGGTGCTGGAACCAACAATGGAACAGTGACCGGAATGTTTAGGCTCTTCCCAGGAGAAGCTCTGAGGAGTTGCACCAGCTCCCAGAGTGTCTGCTCTCTAGTTTGTGGGTTCTCTGTGAAGTGACAGACCAAAGGCTGTTGAGACTAACCATGGCGGGGCTGCCCGCGTCCAGTCTCACCATGCCTTCCATGAGCAGGCCAGAACTCCCACATCACTCAGTAGAAACCTCAAACCACCAGGCAACAGGCTCGTCCTGTGGGATCCCGTGGAGAGTAGGGACTGGGGGCAGGGAGGAAGAGACTGAAGGTGGCATGCCAGGAAGAACACAGAATGCTCAGATACATGTGAATTTCAGATCAGAAGGAAGAATTAATAATGAGCATAAGCATGACCCATGCAGTCTCTGAACCAGGCAGAACATGTCTCTTGAGGCCTGTGCGCCTGTTACTCTCCCTCGGCTCTCACCTCTGTCCTCAATTCCTCCTCCTAGCTCCCGCCCACATTCTGGCCTCCCCAACACCTCCCCAGCAAAACACCACAGCCTCCGGCCTTGGCTCTCAGAGGCCCATCTTCACTGTCAAAGGGGCACCTCTTGGACTCACCCCGTGACCTTGGCCCAGAGGCCTTGGCCCCTTGGGCCCTCTCCTCCACAGCCGCCCCAAGGGGTTTGCCAAGGCACAGGTGGTCACACAGCTTGAGGAACAAGCCCCTCGGGGACTGTCAGCATACCGCCGGCCCTTCACCCCTAACTTGGACTCAGGCGATCCTTCCACCTCAGCCTTCCAAGTAACTGGAACCACACGGGTGCATGCCACTACACTTGGATAATTTTTTGATTTATTGTAGAGATGAGGTCTCGCCAAGTTACCCACGTTGGTCTCGAACCCCTGGGCTCAGGCAGTCTTCTTGCCTCCACCTCCCAAAGTGCTGGGATGACAGGTGTGAGCCACTGTGTGCCTGGCCAGAAAATGTTTTAAGTGCCAAGAGAACCCCTCCACTGCTCTGCTTGACACTCTGGGGCTCTGTTTAAGATTTGGAGGAAGGGATTCTGCTACCCAAGGAAACCATGTTTTAAACCATGGGACTAAAGAGCCTGAGGCCTCCTCCTGCCCAACACCAGATTCAGCACTCTCCTCCTAAACTACCGGGCAGATGGGCTCTGCTGGGCCCAGGTGCTCTTTCCTCCAGGTGTGGCAGTGGTGATATCACACCAGAGGCCTGAGTTCAGCTTGTACCACACAGCCCCAGCTCTCTTTGGGGGGCTGCCCCTCCAGAAATACTTTATTCAGTTTTTATTGAGGAAAATAATCCAAAACTGCAACATCCATTTTCAAGCAGCGAGATCATCTGGACACCTGGTGCTCTCAGTGGATAATGTACAATAGACAGATGTGATCAACGTGAGCTGTAGGCTACATTTCCGCAAGCAAAATTCTGCTTTTATTTGTTTTAGATATCAGGGTTCCACGTGAGAGGTTGATTTAGGAAAAGGTCATGCTGCTAAAAATAGTGTTCAGAACCTAACCCTTACCTGTACCCCACAAAACCATAATAAAAAATATTGATTAATAAAAAAAAATAGTGTTCAGAAACACTGACTTGATTCATCAGAGATATTCTCAGCTACCATGCATGGGAAGACATTAGAGGAGGAAGAAAAAACAAAGACACGTCAAGTGTCTACTATGGGTCAAGGGTCAAGGTCCAGACTCGATTTTTTACATGTGTTATTTATTAGTCCTCACAGTAATTCTCTGAGATAGGTATTTTATGCCCATTTTAATGATAAGGAATCAGTAGTTCAGAGAGGCTGGATGACTGGCTCAAGGTTGCACAGCTAATAAGTGGCAGAGTCAGGCAGAATTCAGCACAGTTCTGACAGACATCAAAACATCTCTTTTTCCCAATATATCATGATTCGACTATAAACCAAAACTAGTTTTCTCCTGTGGTTCAAAAATTGGTTCAGAAGCCAGCACTCCTAGAGAATTTTTCAAATGTCTTGTCCAGCTTTTCTGGAAAAGACCACTGAGTGACCACCTTGAAGAACAGCACCTATTTAGACATGGACATTCTGTTACATTTTGTTTTGCTGTGTTTTGTTTTTTTGTCTCATCACACCTCATATTTTAGGGCAAATCAGTCTCTCTCAGTTCTCTGAATTGGGCCAACCCCCAAGTCGTCTGGGTGGGCTGTGGAAGGGATATTTCTGGCACTTAAAACATTTTCCGGCTAGGCACAGTGGCTCACACCTGTCATTCCAGCACTTAGGGAGGTGGAGGCAAGAAGACTGCCTGAGCCCAGGGGTTCGAGACCAACGTGGTAACTTGGCAAGACCTCATCTCTACAATAAATCAAAAAATTATCCAAGTGTAGTGGCATGCACCCGTGTGGTTCCAGCTACTTGGAAGGCTGAGGTGGAAGGATCGCCTGAGTCCAGCAGGTCGAGGCTGCGGTAGCCGTGAGTGTGCCACTGCACTCCAGTCTGGGTGACAGAATGAGACTCTGATTCAAAAAAAAAAAATTTCCCTCATGAGCTGAGTCATCCTGGTGGCTCCTCCCTTCTGCATCCCAGTGTGCAGTTGTGGCCAGGGTCCACACACCATAGGGGAGCACTATGGGGGAGGCAGCAGGAGGCACAGGGGTAAGTGGCATCTTACCCAAGTTGGGGTCATATTCGCTGATAAATCTCTTGGTCAGAAACTTCACGGTCAGGGCTGTAAAAAGCAGAAATAGGTTGGCTCAGTGTCCCTTGTCCTGTCCAGCTACCCACCCCTCGAGTTTTAGGGAGGCCCCATCTGATCCCTGGCTGACACCAAGCTCAGCTCCCTCAGGAAATGAGGCTGGGAACTGAGGAGCTGGTTTGAAAGGCTTGGAAGAAATCAGAAATATGAGGAGCTGAGTCCCGCTAGCTGCACCCTGGGATTTTTTTTTTTCCTGGCAAGAAAAGCAATGAGAGGCAAGCCCAAAGGGAGTTTATTAAGACAGGAACTCAGCAGTCAGGACCCACATCACCAGTTACTTTAGGGTCAGCCTGGTGAAACCCCAACTAAAGTGAGGAAAAGCCCCTCAGGGACTGTCAGCACACTGCCTCCCCTTCACCCTAACTTAACCAAGAGAACCCCTCCACCCTGGATAAGTCACAAAGATTCTGAAGCATGGGCATTTATTCCAGCTTTGGCTACAAGCCAAAAACAGAGAAGGAGCAGAGGTGGCCAGTGGCCATGCTCCCTGGGGAGCTGTGAACCCTGAGCACCTGGGATCTCCAGGCGAGCTCTGAGCCCCAAGTAAGCACACCCTCGTTGTGCTCTTCTACATCTCAAGTTTCTACTCTCTGGGACCCTCACACTCAACATAGCTGTCTTGGCAGAATGTAAAACTCTAGAAATGGCATTCTCTCCAGTGGAACCCAAGAACAGAACTCATTCTGAATAGGTTGAGTTTAGTCACATAAAACAAGGGCCAGCCAACTATTATACTGGAGTCTTCAAAAAGAATGTGATATTTTTAAGAAAATCCTTGAAATTCTTTTCTAGGATTCCTGACAAATGTCACTTTGCAAACAATATCCAGGGAATACATATTTTAAAATTGAAATTCTTCCTTTCATGTAGTCACCGGCTATACCATACCAGCAACAGAGATAACAATATGATTGTTAAAGGGAATAGGCAAATCTTTTCTGTAGGCAAACCAGATTCAGAGTCTTCTCTCTGAAGGAAGGGGGCTGGCTTCCGAATCAGAGCAGCCCCCATGGAGTCTCCAAGAACACTCTGGGGAAGGAGGCCCACAATCACCTGAGTCCAGGGTGGCCTCCCTAACATCTAAACTGGGAAAAACAGCCAGCAGAGGAGCCCTATCTGCCTTCCCGCCTTCAGCTGTCTGGAGCTGGGTGGCTGGGGAGCGGCAGACCCTTCTCCTCTGGTGACACCCCACCCCCATCCAGAGTCTGGGCTCCAGCTGCCAAGAGTGGTGAAGGCAGAGATCTGTTGACAGAAATTATCCTAATGGAAGCCCAAGATCTCGGTTCATCAGGGACAAGTCCCAAGCATCTGGGTGTGTTTCCAGAAAGTCAAGAGAGGGTCTGGCCTGAAACAAACACGTGATACGTGTGCACAGTTTGTCCCAGAACCCCACGGAATTGGGGTGGAGAGTGGGGCGGTGGCTCTTCCCTGAGAAATCACAATAGCGGGTAACTTCTACCAGCTCCCTTCGGAGAGGTTGTGTAGACAGGGAGTAGGACAGGACTCCTTCCCCAGGGAGTGGTAAGGCTACGAGCCCTGGCTGGAGATGGGTGCACAGCAGGCCCTGTCGGGGCCTGCCGCCAAGACCGATTGCCAGTCCAGGGAGAAGAGATGGGGGGACTGGCGGCAAAAGAGCTGGGTGGAGGACGGAGCGACACGGAGAGAGGCAGGGAGAGGGACGAGGGAGACAGAGGGGTCACAGACACAGAGGACGGAGACGCCGTGGGAAAACCCAAAGGGAAGGACAGACGGAAGAGGCGGAGGAGCTGAGAACAAGACCAAGAGAAGAGAACCGAGAGTCAGAGAGACTGAGGCAAGGAAGATCACGGCGTCCCGTCCAACTCATCCAGGTGAAGGAAAACCCCAAAGCCACGGGAGAGCCCACCCCTCCGCGACGCGTCGTCCCCCTCAACCTCTACGAGTTCCCCGACGGCTCCTTCCGCGCCCCGCGCCACTCACCGG